AAACGTTGTGTAGTTTTAAAAATTAGGGGAAACAAGATACTAGAGTGGAACGAGGAACGTGATTGAAACGACAAAGATTTCTAGAGTGAAACAAGAAACCAGAGTGAAACGAGAAAGATACTAGAATGAAACAAGAAAACAGACTTAAAAAAAATTATAGTGCAACAGGAGAAAAAGTGAAACAAATAAGAAACTAGAGAAAAAAGGAAAAAGAATGAAACTAGAACGAAATTAAAAATATGAAACTAGAGTGAAACACGAGTGGAAATCAAATGAAACACTAGAATGAAATATGAGTGAAACTAGAGGAAAATACGAATGATGCTAAAGCAAAGCGAACGAGACTAGTGAAACAAGATAAAAACATGAGTAAATCTAGTGTGAAACACAAGTGAAACCAGAGTGAAATTAAGAGTAGCTAGAGTAAAAGATGACTGAAACTTGTGTCATACTAGTGTGAAACACTAGCGGAACTGGAATGTTAGACGAGTAAAACTGGTGAAACTAGTGTGAGACGCGAGTAGAGCTAGAGCAAAACGAGTGAAACTCGAGTGAAAATACAGCAGAACACGAGTGAAATTAGCAAAACACTAGTGAAACTAGAGTGAATCACTAGTGAAGAAGCACTTGTGATACTAGTGAAACACTAGCGAAACTAGAGAAAAATACATATAAAATTTTTGTGAAACTGAAGTGCAATGCGAGTAACTAGAGTGAAACTAGTGTGAAGAACTAGTGAAATTAGTTTGAAATCCTATTAAAGCTAGATAGGAACACTAGTGAAGCTTCTTGGAAACACGAGTAAAACTAGAGTGAAACAGGAGTGAAATTAGAGTGACATGACTAAAAGTAAATGAAAAAGTGAAACCAAATAAAAACACGAGTAAAGCTAGAACACAACTCGAGTGAGAAAAGTGAAGCTACAGCGAAACTAGTACAAAACACGAGTGAAACTAGAGCAGTACTCGAGGGAAACTAGAGCAGTACTCGAGGGAAACTAGAGCAGTACTCGAGGGAAACTAGAGCAGTACTCGAGGGAAACTAGAGCAGTACTCGAGGGAAACTAGAGCAGTACTCGAGGGTAACTAGAGCACAAGTGTGAAATTAGAATGAAGCACTAGTGAAACTAGAGTGAAATACATGTTGTAGATGAATGGTTCAGAGAACCGACACGTTGATAAATTAGACACATATGAAACTCTTAGGTATCTTTATTGAGGAAACGTTTCGCCACACAGTGGCTTCATCAGTCCATACAAAAGAGAATCGTGAAGAACAGGAGAAAAATGAGATAATCAGTCCCTCAACCTTGAGTCGATGTGGTCAGTCCATCAGTCTTGAGGGACTGATTACCTCATTCTTCTCCTGTTCTTCACGATTCTCCTTTGTATGGACTGATGAAGCCACTGTGTGGCGAAACGTTTCCTCAATAAAGATACCCAAGCGTTGCGTATGTGTCTAATTTATGAAATACAAGTGTAACTAGAGTGAAACATGAATGACATTAGAATAAAACACGAGGGAAACTAGAGTACACGAGTGAAGCTTGTATGAAAAGCGAGTGGAACACGAAAGACAAAACTGGTGTGAAACTAGAGTGAAACATGGTGGGAGAGTGTTAGGAATGTATCTATAACACCTCTTTGACAGGTGTTCAGCACACGAGACAGTTGTTCAGCACACGAAACAGGTGTTCAGCATGTTAGAGAGGTGTTCGGCACACGAAACAGGTGTTCAGCGTGCTAGAGAGGTGTTCGGCACAAGAGAAAAGTGTTCAGCAAACTATCAGCCGGGCTGTGGTTCTTACGCTGGACTACGTGTGGTCAGCAGTAACAGCCTGGCTGATTAGGCCCTGAACCACCGGGAGGCCGCGGGGGCGTTGACCCCCGGAACATCCTGCAGATACAGAGGTGCTTAGCACGCGGGATGATGTGGCAGATCACTTCCTATCCTCTGTTGAAATCACTTATTCCATCCACGACTATATCACCTCTCCCTCTCATATACACACGCACATTATACTATATATACTCATATATATTATATTATTATATATATATATATATATATATATATATATATATATAATATATATATATATATATATATATATATATATATATATATATTATAGATGGATTGTAACAGAACAAAGAGGAATAGACAAAACTGAAGACGTATACCATGGGATTTAATATGTAACATATAGCAATGAAAGAAAAGGCTGTGGGATTATTTGGTTAACGCGGTTTAAAGCCTATCTACTAAACAAGGGTCATTAAGGCTGTATGTAAACTGATGACCACCAGTCAATAAAACTTTAATCCCTAAAACTGGTATATACAAGGAGAGATATACACCTCTCTGTGCATATATGCTACTCTGGAACTAATTTCACACTTAAGGATAAGTAAAACTTGCTATTTTGGCTTAAATAGCAACGCTCTTCTTGCCAAATAGGACAAGCAAAAATTTGTATATGCAATAATTTAGCAAAAAATCATTTTAAATCTAATGAAAAAAATATATTTTACAGTGTTTGTTTATTATTAAATTATTGTAAACTTATATAAAATATATTTTGTTAGATTAGGCTAAATTAAACTGCGCTTGTTATAAGAAGGCTAGGTAAGTTTCCTAAGGTTCTTTTGGTACAAAATCATTAAATTTTATATTAGCATAAATGAAAAAAATATATCTTTAAATGTATAAGAGAAAATTTTAGAAAGGACTTAATTTTATAATGTGCGTGTGTGTATGAGAGGGAGAGGTGATATAGTCGTGGATGGGAGAAGTGATTTCAACAGGATGATAAGAAATGAGCCATATATACATCGTATAACTTCAGCGGCGAATGCAAGACTGGCAAACCATAAAACAGCACTGAGAATCTTTAACAGAGAATCCTTTAGAACTATATTATTGACAGATGTTAGGCCCATCATCAACTACATGATCTAACTTCAGAGGTGCAGCCTGGTCAAGCACATGAAGCTCGAAAACGTCTTAAGATTTGCAAATAAATAATCCTAGTATTGAGAGAATTTCACCATAAGGTGATATTAGACAGGATTAGAAGAGCAGATAGCTATAGACTAATTAAAAAGACATAGGAATGGGGAAGAGGCCACTTATGCAAGCTGAAAACACAGATGAGACATGAGGATGTTAAGCAGTACCTCTTTAGTGGAGGAAACTTAGAATGAGTTGAAAGAAGTGTTGGAAGCAAATTCAATTGAGTTTCCTTAGTAGGTAGAATATGGCCGAAGCGTAACTAGTAATTGCTGTTGAAGTAGTTTATGACGCAGGGCCAGGAGCTGAGATTCGACCCTCGCAAATATGAACTGGTGAGTGCACAGTAACTCACATACGGAACACCCGTGTACATAACGCACGCGCATACCCCCCCCACAACACACACATACCCGCACACAAAACACGCAGACACACATACACACACAACATACGTGAGCACACAAGCCGCGCACAAACATACAAAGACACATACACACACACACACACACACACACACACACATCACCGTGGGTAACAGGTGGAACGCCACACAACAAACCACTCATCAGCGGTCAGTGTGTCATCACCATTTCACGGTTTATATGCCCTAAAACATATAAATAATTGAGACCCATCTCCAACGTGGTGTGTCGGGTGGGGAGGGAAGGAGCTGTGAGGGAGAGGATGGGGAGAGTTGGTGTGGGATGGAATAGAGGCAGGATAATGTGGGGAGAGACGGGGAGGGACGAATGGAGGAGTGATGGGGTGGGGAGGTAGGAGGTGGGGTCCATCCCGTGAGAGGGGGCGCGACAGCCATCAACACACACACAATCCTACTCCAATAACGCCTCAGCATTGCTAAAAAATCAACTCCAAGAATTTCGTGATGTTGATGTTCCTCTATAGTAGGTGACGGAGTCGGTGTTTCGGAGTTGCAGGGGGTGTAGGCGTGCGAAGCTCACCACCTCTGCAGCCACAATGCCTACACAAAGGGGGCCCAATGGTCGCACCCTCGCGCCAGCTTCACTGTGTTCGGACGGCGTTCATTAAACCATATTACCAATCCACTCCGCCTCAGACCTCGTGGGTCATTGTTTATCAATTGAGCAGTGGCAGAAGTTGACCGGGAGTGAAATGGAGCCTTGTTTTGGTGGTGAGTGAGCGAGTGAGCGTTTGATTCTCTTTGTGCTTGCACTGGTGGGGGTCATCCAAGAGCCGAGGGATGTACCGTTACTGATGTGTACTGATAACACTGGCTCGCAGGGCCTTTTCTCGCACACTTGCAATGTAAACTGAGGTGTATGGAATCAGTCTCCCTACGGAGGCTGTATTCGATGTTTATAAATATTAAATGTGTATCTGGGCTCATTAATCTTAGGATTAACATGCAAGAAGGACGAGAGAGGACCTGTGGTTGAGTGCTGGACAGGCACTCTGGCGGCGAGTGGTGGAGTTACTGGGCGGCCATGTTGTTGGCCGCGGGCGACCAGTGATGAATGCGTCGGGCCAGTGGACCTGCCTCCAGACACCGTGCACCAACGCACACTCAAACGCTCCCACATTTTCGCTTGATTGGAGCTGTTAATTGGCTATTTATGGATAAAATACTTTGTGCTAGGATGTGGTGGAGGGGAGAAGTGGAATACTGCCTAGTGTGGAAGTGAAACGAAGTGATGGGACCAGTCAAGCTCAGATGTTTTTTACCGAGGAGTAATGAGGACTCTGCATCGCGTATCCTAAGATGGCGAGACCGGTCGGCCCCCGACTAGCCAGGATAATGGCGCTCTGCTGAAACAGGCGGTGTGGCAAGATGCGAATATTGTGGGGCTGGAGCCTGGCAGCCCTGTTGTGGGCTGTGGCGGGGAATGTGGGGCCAGAATACCACAGCCCTGATGACTGTCAGGTCACCTCGCTGGCGGGCACCGACCTCGTCGCCCTCCTCTGTCGACTACGGACCATCAACAGCGAACTGGATGCCACCAACTTCAGCGTCATCCCCACCCGTAACACAGTCAAGCTCAGGATTGAGTGCAGTGACGTGCTTTTTTTTCAAAGTGCGCTTCAAAACAAGAGTTTTGTGAGGCTGAGAGAGCTTCAGGAGCTCGATATTGAGTATTGCAAGATCGGTGAAGTACCGCGGGAGGCATTCCTGGGCCTCACCAACCTGCGGAACCTGACGCTGCGGACCTACAATACCGACTGGTCTGCCATGACTCTCAAGATCTCTAGCGACGCCTTCAGAGAGCAGAGAAACCTTCAGAGGCTTGACCTAGGTGATAACAACATCTGGACGCTGCCCCCAGCACTCCTCTGCCACCTAGAGAATCTCAGGCTCCTCAATTTGTCCCGCAACAAACTGCAAGACGTGACAGTTATGAGTTTTAGTCAGGTGGAGCACATCTGCGCCCCGGGTTTGCGCTCACTCGATGTGTCCTTCAATCACTTAGTAAGTGTTCCGGCATTTGCATTTGCGGCACTCAAAAACTTGCAAATACTCAACATGAGTCTAAATGGCATTAGTAAACTCGAGGATAAGGCTCTGTTCGGTATGTACTCATTAGAAGTGTTGGACTTGTCGGGGAATTTATTGACTGCGTTACCTCCTGAACTATTTCAGGAAAATAAAAGACTAACAAAATTGTATATAAGAAACAATTCTGTGAGTGTGTTGGCTCCTGGGCTGTTTACGGGCTTGAGCCTCCTGCTGGAGCTGGAGCTCACTGACAACCAACTCACCAACACCTGGGTCAACTCCGAGACCTTTACCGACTTGCTAAGGCTCGCCAGTCTCGATTTGTCTAACAACAAAATCACAAGACTCGACGCGGCCACTTTCCGTGATTTAACCAACTTGCAAGTGCTAAAGTTACAACAGAATATGATTGAAACCATTTCAGATAATACCTTTAGTGGGCTGTTTAGATTACACACGTTAGTGCTCTCGGATAACAGAGTCAAAGTGATAAGTGATAAAACTTTGGCAGGTTTGATCGGCCTGCAAGTGCTAAAATTGGATAACAACGAAGTGTTCAGCGTGGACAGCCACGCACTCACTAACTCGACGGAGTTGCAGGAGCTACAGCTTAGTCACAACTACCTTCAGGACGTTCCCAAGCTGGTGCAGAGTTTGGCATCGCTCAGAACCCTCGACCTGAGTGGCAACCATGTAAGTGTTATCACCAACAGTTCCTTTACCGACCTCCAGCACCTCAGTGCCTTAAAACTTGCCGCTAACGTGGTGGAAAATATTACTAAGAGTGTTTTCAAGAATCTTCCTGCTCTTCAAGTGCTTGATTTGGGAAGTAACAAAATTCACACTATAGAGAATGGTGCTTTTGACAATAATAAACATCTTGAGGCCATCAGGCTAGACAATAATGTATTGACAAACGTTCATGGTCTGTTTTCTGACTTGCCAAACCTTCAATGGCTCAATCTCTCTAAAAATCATCTGGAAATGTTTGATTATGCTTTTATTCCTAGAGGACTTAAGTATCTAGACCTTCGCTCAAATTTTATAAACGAACTTGGAAATTATTTTGAAATTGAGAGTCAGTTAAACTTGAAAATAATTGACGCTAGTTTTAATAAGCTGTCAGACATAAGTGCTAGTTCAGTGCCAGACAGTGTTGAAATTCTCTTCTTAAACAACAACCTTATATCTCGAGTACAGCCTTATGCATTCTTTAAAAAGAAAAATCTTACTAGAGTGGATCTCTTTGCAAACAAGATCAAAAACATTGATCAAAACGCCCTGAGACTTTCCCTGATGGACCCTTCTCGTGAGCTGCCTGAGTTCTACCTGGGAGGCAATCCTTTCGAATGTGACTGCACTATGGAATGGCTGAAGACCATCAACAGCCTGGAGGAGACTCGACAACATCCGACAGTGATCGACCTCGACACTATCAACTGCAGACTAATGAACAACAACGCTCTCATCCCTCTCCTCGAGGCGCAGAAATTGCAGTTTCTCTGCGAGTATGAGTCGCATTGCTTCGCCCTCTGCCACTGCTGCGACTTCGATGCCTGTGACTGCGAGATGACCTGCCCCACCAACTGCACTTGCTTTCATGACGAGTCTTGGGCAGCCAATATCGTCGACTGTTCCCAGGCTGGCTACGATTCTGTGCCTGAAAGGATACCAATGGATTCATCTGAAGTGTACCTGGATGGTAATAACATGGACTCTCTCTCCAGTCATACCTTCATCGGGAGAAAAAATCTCAGAGTGCTCTATTTAAATGACAGCAAGGTGGAGATAATTCACAATAGAACGTTCAATGGTCTGAAACTACTGGAAACCCTTTATCTGCACCGTAATTATATCAAGGAACTCAAGGGTTACGAGTTTGAGCACCTTACCCTTTTACGTGAATTGTATTTACATAGTAATGAGTTGCTTTACATACAGAACGCAACATTCTTAACCCTGATCTCGCTTAGGGTGCTGAGGTTAGATGATAACCGTCTCAAAACATTCCCAGTGAGTCTGTTCGAGAAAAACCATAACCTACACTCCTTGCACTTGAGCGAGAACCCGTGGAGCTGTGACTGTGACGATCTGGAGGACATCCAGACCTGGATGCACGGCGCTGGAGGGAGGCTCAAGGACGCAGATAAAATCATCTGCTCCCTCAACAGGTCAGTCGAGGTCATGGTACAAGTGTCCACTTTTAACCTGTCTACCTGTAACAATGATACGGAGACGACAACAATAAGACACGAGGCTTACCTGGACTATGTCTTCCTCCCGACCATCACGCTGGGAGCCTTTGCTCTCCTTCTGACCATCACCCTCATCATTTTCTGCAACAGAAACCGTATGCGAGTGTGGGTGTACGCCAAATACGGTGTAAGACTCTTCTACAGAAGTGAGTACGAAGGGGATACAGACAAAGCTTTTGACGCTTTTGTTAGTTACAGTTCGAAGGATGAGGTTTTCGTGACACAAATCTTGGCCCCAGAGCTGGAGCGTGGCAGTCCGGCCTATAAACTGTGTCTTCACTATAGAGACTTTCCCGTCGGCGCCTATATCACTGACACTATTCTCAGCGCCGTGGAAACAAGTAAACGCACTATATTAATTTTATCGGAGAATTTTATTAAATCCGAATGGTGTCGCTTCGAGTTTCGCTCTGCTCATCACGAGGTGTTAAAGGATCGACGGCGGAGGCTCATTGTCATACTATTGGGTGATGTCCCTCAGAGAGACCTTGACCCAGACATCCGCCTGTACCTTAAAACAAATACTTATCTTAAGTGGGGCGACACTCGCTTCTGGGAAAAATTAAAGTTTGCAATGCCGGACGCTCAGCCGCCCACCAGGAACCACCAGCTTCACTCCCTGGCCTCCCAGCAGCAGCCTGGGCCCAGACCCGTCCCTCTCCACATGTAGCCGAGACACAAGTTCCTCGCCAGCACCACTGTCACCTCCAGCCGTGATCCAGCACACCTTACATCATCCTCCACTCACAGCAGAGACAGCCTCCACGCCCTCCCACTGATACCACCACCTCCAACACAATACACAAAAAGGACTGAAAAAAACTCATTTTCTCGCGAAAAAATCTTGGAAATTATTATTTTTTTTGCTTAATAATTTGGAAAAATCAACAGAGGCAGGTGAAGAAGAGGCAGGCGCAACTGGGAGGGACAGCGACGTCAGCTGCTGAGAGGAATCACTGCTGGTGTGTCCTCTGACCCCGGCTCACCTGCCAGAGTCAAGCGTCTGTACACCACGGGATAAGATCTGTCCCCAGCATCAGGCTAAGACACACCACCTCTTGTTCACCATGGAGCGGGGGTGTGGGACCCCCCTGCCCGCCTGCTGCTCACACTAGGGGGAGCTACCCGACCTAGGGGGCATGTGCTTCACTACTCTTGCTCAACCTAGGAAGGGACAGGGGAAGGGAAGACTGATACCTAATGCCCAGCCTATTGTTTGGGAGTGCTCACCCCACTGTGGGAGATTGACCACTCCTCATTATCCCACTGTGGGAGACTGACCACTCATCACCCTATTGTGGGAGACTGACCACTCCTCATCGCCCCACTGTGGGAGACTGACCACTCATCACCCCACTGTGGGAGGCGGACCACTCATCACCAACCCACTGTGGGAGATGACCACTCCTCATCAGCCCAACTGTGGGAGGTAGACTATTGCTTCTCGGCCACTGTGGGAGGCAGACATTAGTCCTCAGCCCACTGGGAAGTGACCACACCTGCTCATCCCACTGTGACAGGCTAACCACTCCTGATCACCCACTGTGACAGGGGCTGGCCATTCTTCAGCCCACTGTCACAGGGGTTTGCCATTCTTCAGTCCACAGTGGAAGGCTCAACACTTCTCGGCCCGCTCTGGCAGGTTAGCTACTCTATCAGCCCACTGTGGGAAGCTGACTACGTCTACTCAGCCCACTGTGGGAGGCTGACTACTTCTGCTCAGCCCACTGTAGGAGGCTGACCACTCATCAGCCCACTGTGGGAGGCTGACCACTTATCAGCCCACTGTGGAAGGTTGACCACTCATCAGCCCACTATGGGAGGCTGATCGCTCATCAGGCCCCCTGTTGAAAGCTGACCACTCATCAGCCCACTGTGGGAGGCTGATCACTCATCAGTTCACTGTGGGGGCTGACCACTCCTCATCAGCACACTATGGGGCTGACCACTCCTCATCAGCCCACTACGGGGGACTGACTTCCCTACTCAGCCCATCCCTACCACCAGCGGGGGACTAACAGAGCTCAACCTACAACTAAAGTGTTCACTATTTTGTTAAGTAACAAGTGTTCTGATCAACAAAGATTTTTAAACAATATATATATATATGTATGTGTGTGTGTGTGTGTGTGTGTGTGTGTGTGTGACAACGGTATAAGAACTATACTTGCAAGTGAGGTTACCAGTAGAGAAAACTGCATATTGTACAATAACATCAAACCAGTATCCATTAAAGTCACGTCATCCATAGTAACGTTCCTACAATTATATATATATATATATATATATATATATATATATATATATATATATATATATATATATATATATATATAATATATATATATATATATATATATATATTAAAGATACGATGGTTATTGTGCAATGCTTTAATCTGTTGCAAGAGTGATCGCATGTGTGTGTTCACACTGTCTGTGTTCTGTATGTATTTCATTCCCATGGTTACACCCGTAACAAAGGAAGCATTACGAAATCTTATGATTTCAGTGAATACATTAAACGACAGTGATAACCAGTGCGAGTGTGTGTACGTCTTGCTCTTTTGATTTCTTGATGCTACTGATGTAAGACCCCTGTGGGTTTGACGCTTATCGAATATATATATATATATATATATATATATATATATATATATATATATATATATATATATATATATATATATATATATATATATATATATATATATATAAATTCTTTTGAAAATCGCTAAGAAAAATTATAAACATTAATACAAACTTATAAATTAATTAGTGTATATATCGGAAATTATTTGTTAAAAGTATGACTAAACATTTTTAAATCAAATTACATCTATCTTAAATAAAAAATTTAAGAAAATGATAAGCTCTAAATGACCCATACGGGTTTAGTGCTTTATTATATGGCTAGTAACATTAATATTATTATTATGAAGCCTGTCCAAATGAAGGAATAGATCGATTTTTTAAATATCAGAAAACTTAATGTTAGAAGGTAACTAAACTTCTGAAAAAAACTGTGTAGATCTATGGAAACTGTTAATTTTGTATCGTGAGACCAGGTCTGGCAGGCTGGCTGAGACCAGGTACCAGGTCTGGCAGGCTGGCTGAGACCAGGTCTGGAAGGCTGGCTGAGACCAAGTCTGGAAGGCTGGCTGGTGACAGTGGCGATAATTCCTCGCAATACTCGTGGCATTTACAATGATAACTTGACACAGTGAGAGAGGAACAGGGGACTCAGCAAGTGGAGTGTTGGGTCAGGACTCGCAGAAATGAACCCGCTGACACTCCTCCTCTCATTCTTGTACATAATACACCCATCGCTTTCTGTACATTGTGCTGTCTTGACCATTGTACGTGTGTGTACATACCATTATTATCCTATATCATATTCTAAACTGCCCTGGTTTGTTGAGCTTATTATTTCGTGTTTTTTCTTTGTTATTGCTTGTCTAGTCAACCGAAATGTTATGTTAATGAAGCGGTATGTGATAATTGAAGTTTATTAAGTTTGATGCCAAATTTATTTGTGATAGTTGAACTATCTTCAAAATGCCCAATTGCCAATTTTCGTGTGCAAAGACAAAAATGTATATGTTGATCTAGTGTTTGTGGTCCCGTGGTTGAAATTATTGAGTCCTCGTTACTACACTTTTTTCCCCAGAAATGTTATCAGCGCAAAGATGTGTTAATAATCTGTGATGATTGATTGTAGATGTATTTATGAGCGTGGATGATGTTATTTATGCTGTGAAGCAGATGTGGGGACTGGGCGAGCCTAGCTGCCAGGCCTACCACGGCCTACCCTGCACTCCAGGCCTATCATGGAATTTATACTGTTTCGCTAACTGATTCTCTCTCTCTCTCTCTCTCTCTCTCTCTCTCTCTCTCTCTCTCTCTCTATCTCCTCTCTCTCTCTCTCTCTCTCTCTCTCTCTCTCTATCTATCTATCTATCTCTCTCTCTCTTTTTTTTTTTTACACAGGGTTTGACAAGGTTAAGGATCCCTAGCTTTATTGACAGCTATTTACAGGTTAAGGATTCCTAACTTTATTGGCAACCTAAGAGCTGTTACCTACATCAGCTCATTTGAAAGCATTTTTATTGTTATGAGACATACAAGTAGGGAACAGGATGAAGTTGGAGCCATCTGTGGGCCAGCATTTTCATTTGATCAACTGACTTTATCTCGTTGACATCATTATCCTGTACGAATGTGTTCCATACTCGAGTCATCCTGGGTATGTATGATCTCAGATGGAGTGATGTTCTGGAGAAGGGTACAGCCTCTCTCTCTCTCTCTCTCTCTCTCTCTCTCTCTCTCTCTCTCTCTCTCTCTCTCTCTCTCTCTCTCTCTCTCTCTCTCTCTCTCTCTTTCTCTCTTCTCATGGTGGTCATACTAGGGAATAACCCTAGTGCGATCTGGCAATGCCCTGGACATGCCCAGGGCACGACCGTGGCTGGCAGCAGCGGCGTACACCCAACCGCCCCCACCCCACCCCCAATTTCCCAAGCGGGCATCACCCCCCAATACGACCCCCTCCCGCCTCCCCTCCCAATACATTTTTAAACCACATACACAAGACTCACCACCTCCTTCGCCATTACTGTTATCGCACAGCAAAACAAAAAATCTCAAGAAAAATACACAATACACGTGCGTTATCAGAGATTTGCTTTTTGAACGGCATGTAATAGAGGAAATTGAAGGAGGTGTCGAAACGTTGTATTACTGCCATCACTCTAGTGGTATGACGCACCTCCGCCATGATGCTTCAAAAAAGGCTTCATTCTTGTTGTTTCCATCTGCACCCGGAGTTTTGTGACCTTTTGGAGTTAAAATCATTATATCAATCTACGCCCGGGCTATTGCTGCTGTTAAAACTATTTTAGAGCCTTGTGTATAGGGCGGTTCAAAATGTATTTTTCCTTTTTTTTGAGTTACCCTTCTGGGGGGAGGAGGGGGGTGGTGGTATCGTCGTGCGTCTGGCAGCGCTACTCGTAAATCGGGTCCCGATGTACGATAACTGGCGTTGCCTGATTCATGGCTTCATGGCATGCCACAGATAACCACTGATGATGATGATGATGATAATAATAATAATAATAATGATTTGAGAATATATTCCTGTATGTAAGAGCAGTGTTCCTCAATGACACGACATTATTAATAAATTCTGTATTCATTTTACACTCCTCCCATAAATCAGTTGGCAACCTCCACTAATAAATTGTTAACTAAATTCTTGAGAGTTTACTTAACCAAAAAAGTATATAAGTAAATATATATATATATATATATATATATATATATATATATATATATATATATATTATATATATATATATATATATATATATATATATATATATATATATATATATATATATATATATATATATATAGGTTATCTGCAGCCTTAATGTCCATCATGCAGTTAATACACTTTCAATTGTTAATCAACCAGCCTTGCAGCGGTAAACCCTTGTGGGTCACTCAGCGTGAGGACGGGTGAAGGCTCGATCCTTCGGCCGCTAACTTTGCTTCGGTGTGTTAGTGATTTTTTTTTTTTTTTTGCAAACTTATTTAAAATAAAATTTAATTTTTTTAACTAAAAATATGATTATTATTAATATTATTATTATTATCTTAAAGGAATGCTAATGAAAGGTTCTTGATCTAGAGAACTGGAGCTAACCTCCACTTCCTTGGATCAAACTTGCTTTCTATTGCTCATTTGCCAAGATATATATAACTTCCGTATGAGTTTAGCGCTTCCTCAGGAAAACAGTATTAATATTAATAATAATTAAAATGATTATTATTATTATTATTATCCGTTCAAATTTGTATTGGGTGATACAGCTCCTTGGAAATGGGAGGTAAACAGGTTTGATCCGAGGAAGGGAAAGTTAACTACAATTCCTTGGATCAAAAATTCTTAAAAACATGAAGGCAATATTTAAACTTCTGTACGCAACCTTTCATAAATATGACCCGTACGGGTTTAGCCCTTCCCGTGTGTATGTGTGTGTGTGTGTGTAGTAATCTCATCAGGGGTTGATGGAAGTTTATCAGGGGTTGATGGAGACTTATCAGGGGGTTGATGGAGGTTTACCAGGGGTTGATGGAGGTTTATCAGAGGTAGATGGAGGTTTATCAGGATTGATGGAGACTTATCAGAGGTTGACGCAGATAAATCAGGGGCTGATGGAGGTTTATCAGGGGTTGGTGGAGGTTCATTTGGGGGGTTGCTGAGGTAGGCCCCTGTGTCAGGTAGATCTCTGTTATTTTGCCTCAGCTCATTAACAGACTAAGAGTTATCCTTCCTCAGCTCGTTTTAATGGCATGCTGCTGGGTAGACACCCAGCAGCATGTCAGTCACCTCAGTCTGGTACCTATTTACTGCTTAGTTGACAAGGACAGCAGGTGTAAGTAAACTATTACGCAGGTATCAATTTACTGCTATATAAACAAAGACAGCCGGTGTAAGGAGACTTCCAAGTCTGTCGCAGCTCAGGATGTGACCCACGATGGTCGACTGACTTTCAGGTTCCTATTCACCGCTAAAGGGCGACAGTGGAAAGGAGACTATCACCCAGGTGCCTAATTACTATTAGATAAAGAAGGGAAGATGATTAAAACGGAAACTAACACTCTGGTTCCTCTTTACTGCTAGGTGGAAAGGGTAGCAGATGGCAGGGGACTAACACCTAGGTACCTATTCATTACTAGACGAACAAGGGCGGCTGGAGGCAGGAACGATGTCGTATGTTAGTGATGTATAGTGTGAATGTTATGCGGAGAATTCGGAGAGTACAAATTCGAAGACTGATATTAAGTCAACAGAGGTATCACTGAGAGGACTGAGGAGTTGCTGAGGTGGGTTGGACATTTAGAGAGGATAGAGCAGAGTACGATGACTGGGAGGGGTGTGCAAATAGGGGGTGCGGGGAAGGAGGCGGGTAGGTATTGATTGGTAGCGCACTCAGCTCACACACTAAAGTTCGAGGGGTCGATCCCCGGTACGGGTGGAAACATTAGGACGTTTTTCCTTAAGTCACCTGCTGTCCACATTCACCTATCAGTAAAATAGGTACCTGGGTGTTAGTCTACTGGTGTGGGTCGCATCCTGGGGACAAAATTGGCTTAACTTGCTCAAAATACTCTGCATAACAAGTGGCTTTATATAGCATTATGTCATTGATGTTAGCTAAGCCTGTATATCTTGTACATGTACTTGTAGAAATCA